GGAACAGAGAGAGACATTGTTACAAATCAGGAATGATCAATTTCTTCTCCCTTCCATCACTTCTTCCTTAGAGAAGAGTAAATGAGAGGAGCTGGGAAAAGCGCCAAGGTTACTTCATCATACTCCCTCCTGGGGAGTAGAGAGGAAACTTTCTCAGGAAAAAATGCGGCCAGGGGAATAGGATTCCCTCTCACACTGTCAAAGACCTTTCTTCACTTCCAGCGGGGGGAAAAATCCAAGTGATTATTTAGTGTTTACATTGGTCATTCCCTCACTAAGCAATTTTTAAAGCTCACAATCTTTGAAATACAATCTCAAGAAGCTCAGTATCATTCATGAAAGTTCTGAAGTTCAGAGAAGCCAATTAGAAGTCTATATTCTCCCCTGCCCAGGTAACCTGTAAATTGGCTGTAGGATTAAGAAAATATCAGGTCTCAAAAATCAAAAAACAGAGGAAAAGAAAAGAAAATATTACATTTCCATATTTTAAAACAGGAATCAGCAATTTTTTCCTGTAAAGGTCCGGAGACCTTAGGCAATGACTCAACTCTGCCATTTTAGTTTGAAAACAGCCATAGACAACACGTAAATGAATGGGCCTGGCTGTGTTCCAGTAAAACTTTGCTTATGAATAACGAAATGTGAACTTCATATAATTTTCACATGTCCTGAAATATTCAGTATACAGAAAGCACTATTTTTCTTTTTTTTCAATATATGAAATTTATTGTCAAATTGGTTTCCATACAACACCCAGTGCTCATCCCAAAAGGTGCCCTCTTCAATACCCATCACCCACTCTCCCCTCCCTCCCACCCCCCATCAACCCTCAGTTTGTTCTCAGTTTTTAACAGTCTCCTATGAAAGCACTATTTTTCAACCATTAAAAAATGTACAACATGGGGTTCCTGGCTGGCTCAGTCGGTAGAGCAGGCAACTCTTTTTTTTTTTTTTTTGTAATTTTTTTAATGTTTATTTATTTTTGAGAGACAGCACACGAGTTGGGGAGGGGCAGAGAGAGAGAGGGAGACACAGAATCCGAAGCAGTCCTCAGGCTCCTAGCTGTCAGCACAGAGCCCGACTCGGGGCTTGAACTCACAGACTGTGAGATCATGACCTGAGCCAAAGTCAGACGTTTAACTGACTGAGCCACCCAGGAGCCCAGAGCAAGCAACTCTTGATCATGGGGTCGTGGGTTCGAGCCCCATGTATAGCATAGAGTTTACTTAAGATAAAAAAAAAAAGTACAACCCATTCTTAGCTTGTGAGACATCCAAAACCAAGTAACTGGTCCTAGTTTTCCAACCCCTGCTTTAGAAAACTCTTCCCTACAGTGGTACCTGGCTGGCTCAGTCAGTAAATCATGTGACTCACCATCTCAGGGTCCTGGGTTCAAGCCCCAGGTTGGGCTGGAGCCTACTTAAAAACACACACACAAAACCTCTTCCCTACAGGTAACCAGTACCTCGTTCTGAGTTTGTTCAGTTGCCATCTGCATGCATGGCACCGATGCTGGATTTAAAAGGAAAAAACCAAAACTTAAAGACTATCTCTTGGCTATTCCTGAATATAGAGTTGACCCTTGAACAACACAGGTTTGAACTGCAAGGGTCCACTTGTATGTGGATTTTTTTTCCCCATAAATACAGTACAGTATTGTAAATGTATTCTCATCATTTTCTTAATAACACTTTCTTTTCTCTAGGTTATTGTAAGAATATGGTATGTAATTCATATACATATGTGAAATATACATATACATGTATACAAATATACAATACATATACGTATAGGAAATATATGTTTATCAACTGTGTTTGCTCTCAGTCAGGCTTCTGGTCCACGGTAGGCTATTAGTTAAGTTTCCGGAGAGTCAAAAATTATACATGGATTTTCAACAGCGCAGGGGTGGACACCCCTAGCGCCTGCCTTTTTTAAGGGTCAACTATATTATCACTCTGGCTTTTCTAGCCAGGATGGACCCCAAACAAGTAAGTTTAGAACTGAACAAACTGTAAAGAAATCCTCTTCTAAAACGTCCTTGTTTACAGTCAGCCTTTAAGGGATATGAGTGTTTCTTATCTGTGTTTACTCTGAAGTTTGATAACTATTTCTTTTATTCAAAAATCTGTTGCAGATATAAAGTACAGTACTTGGCATTCCTTAGATATCAAAACATTTAAAAAATGCCATTTCCCCTCCTCCCGCGTCCTGGGTTTAAACGTTACTGCTGTCGGGTCACTTCTGGCTGTGCCTCTGGTCCTCTGTGGAGCAGCTTTCCACGGGCATCCCGGAGCCCCAGAGCGGCTGCCCCCCGCTGGCCGACCCAGCCGTGGGCCCAAACACCCGTTTCTTTCCGGGCGCCAATCCTCTGGGGCTCCTCCCTCTCCTGCGAGCCTCCCTCTTGGTCCGTCCTTTCGCCTTCCCCAGTCCCACCGATTCGTCAACATCCCTCTGGGCGCCCTCTTCATCAAACCTTCCTTGGCTGGGCTCTGGCTCCTCTATTTTCTCTTTTCTCTAAACTCTCACGGCACTTAGCACGTGGTGCACGATTTAGCACTTAATTATATATTGTCTTTTATTGTTTTTATTTGTTGTGTTAGTTTTCTCTTTTCCAGGGAAGCAGCAGACTCCTTGAAAGGAACACATGTTGTATTTTTTTTTTTTTAATCACTCACAATACTCCAGCAGGGATACAGTTAATACTTCCTGTTCTACCAGTAAGTGTTGTTTGATGGATAGGCACAGATGTAAGACTTTCCAGGCATTTCTGCAGGATCTGTGGTGCTGATGAATATCTGTCAAATTTATTCAACTGAGTTGAGTAATGAAGAGCAGCTCCGAATCTAGTATTCAGTGGTAAATCACACCATCTCTGTATCCATTTTCTCATCTGCAAAATGAAGATGAAAATGTTTTCCCAACCTACCTCAGAGAGTTACCGTGAGGCTTAAAGGAGATAATGTAGCTTTGCACTATATGAATGTCAGGTATTATTATACCTCACATTACGGTTGTGGAAAATATAGTGGTGGTGAGATTTTGAAATGGAAATTCCCCATGTAAATTATTAGTCTTTGCTGCTCCTTACTTACCTACCCTTTCTATACCCTTGTCCACAAGTTTGCTGCTCTTAATTATCTCCCGGCAGGTCTAAAGCAAAATGTGGTATAAGGAAATCTTAGTGAAGAGGTAAGAACTTCCTCCTTTTGGAGTGGATCCTCTTCTCTATTTCATTTCTTTAGATTCCAAAAGGAAAATCTTACTTTGGCAATCACTTATGAATTGATATAATTTTTCTTCTCATTAAAAAAACCCATTTATTTAAGTAAGCTCTACTCCCAACGTGGGGCTTGGACTCATGACCCCAAGATCAACAAAAGTTCTATGTTCTACCAACTGAGCCAGCCAGGTGCCCCCCATAATTTTTCTTATGTATTCTCCCCCCTTTGCCATCTGCTGATTTTTTTCCCATCTTCCTGTCCTTTCTCCTTATTTTAGTCGACCAAAATATCAAAGTATATTTGTTATCATGAGTACTATTTCTTGAGATCGGTATTTTTTAAAGTTTATTTATTTATTTTGAGAGAGAGAGAGAAAGAGAGAGAGAGAGAGAGAGAAAATCAGCAGGGCAGGGGCAGAGAGAAGAGTGGGGGACAGAGGATCCAAAGCGGGCTCTACGCTGACAGCAGAGAGCCCAATGCGGCTTGAACTTGGACCCGTGAGATCATTACCTGAGTGGAAGTCAGAGGCTTAACTGACGGAGTCACTCAGGCACCCCTCTTGAGATCGTTTTTTGTTTTTTTGTTTTTTTTAACGTTTATTTATTTTTGAGACAGAGAGAGACAGAGCACGAACGGGGGAGGGGCAGAGAGAGAGGGAGACACAGAATCTGAAACAGGCTCCAGGCTCTGAGCGGTCAGCACAGAGCCTGACGCGGGGCTTGAACTCACAGACCGCGAGATCATGACCTGAGCCGAAGTCGGACGCTTAACCGACTGAGCCACCCAGGCGCCCCTCGTTTTTTGTTTTTAATTAAAATTATTTGGGGTGAAAATTTTATATACCTCTTTAGTAAATTCTAAAATATATTTTTTATTAGTGCTTAACCCTGGACTCATTTTTTTTTTCTTTGGGTTAGTGTTTCCCAGTGCGGCTTTATATATATATATATATACACACACACACACACATATACATATATATGTATCCATATGTATACAAAAATATATGCATATAGTATATGCATATTATGTATATGTATATATATACATTTGTGTGTATTTATATACATATATACAATTCTTCCCAAGACCCTTTTTACTCTTATTGCTCTAGTATTTAACACTAACTGATGCTATTCCTTTTTAAGACTCAACTCCAGGTTTGAGCCATGCCTGAGAAAGTGGCCTAACCTCATCACCGTGAACACCATGGGGAGTCACTGGGATCCAGTTCAGATGGAGATCTCTGTCCTCCAGCTTTTCAGGACTCAAGCACCGCTGCTATGAAAAAAGGGAAGCTTAATTTCTAATGCTTTCTCCCTTTTCTGCGAAGGGCGCCGCACCTGCTCCAGCATTCTAGGGAGAAATCACAGTTTTCTCCGCCCCCTGATAAGCGCCATACTCCAGGTGGGTCTAGATGTCTCCCTTCCCAGCCGGGGCGGAGAGCCAAAGGCACCTCTCCCAGGCTGGGTGGGCGTGCCAGGGACTGGCCCCCGCCCTCCGGGCCTGGGGAGTGCGGGCGGGGCAGGTGACCCGCCGCGAGGAGGGCGGCCAGCGGAGTCAGTTACCTGGCGGGGCGCGGGGCGGGGCGGACGGCAGGGGCGGGGCCGGGGTGCGATCCCAGGCTACGATTGGGCCGTCCCGCGCCTGTCTCCATGTGCCGCGCGGCGGAGGCACAACATTCAAGTCCGGGGGCGGGGCCGGCGCGCGCCGGGAGGAAACGGCAGCGCGGCAGCTACGGGGCGTGGGGGCGGTGGCGGCGGCGGCGGCGGCCAAGGCCGAGACCGAGGCGGCGGAGACTGAGGCGAAGGCGGCGGTTGCCTAGCCGGTGACGGTGCTCCCCCGGACCCCCTTCCAGGCCCCATGGAGGCGGCGGCGGGCGGGGGCTGCGGCTCTGGGCCGCCTCTGCTGCTGAGCGAGGGCGAGCAGCAGTGCTACTCCGAGCTCTTCGCGCGTTGCGCCGCCGCCGGCGCCGCAGGCGGGGGCCCCGGGTCCGGGCCCCCTGAGGCCGCCAGAGCCGTCCCCAGCGCGGCCACCGCAGCCGCGGGCCCTGTGGCCGACCTGTTCCGGGCGTCACAGCTGCCCGCCGAGACGTTGCACCAGGTAAGTCCCCGCTCCTCTTGCCACTGACGGTCTGTGGGGACCGTTTCTGTGGGGACAAGGGGGCGGGGTGGGGCGATGGGGCTGCCCAGGGACCTGGACGCCTCGGCCAGGTCGAAGTCGGGGATGGTGGCGACGCCCTTGTCCCCCAGGGAACACACCAGCCTCCTCCTCAGCTCAGGAGTGCTGGGTGCGCTCCCCGTCGTCTTCTCCTGAGACAGACTGACACTCCTTCCCCTCCCCCGGCCATTGCTGGGGCTCTGCAGCCGCCCAGACCCAAAGTTTGCCTTGTTCTGGAAGTGGTGTTTGTTTTGGCTGGTGTTTGGTTTAACCTCTGCTCGCTGTTCCTGCTTTTCCCTCTGCTGGGTGAGTGGAAAGGGGTAGGCGCCCGGGGTGCCTTGCTGGGATTTGAACTTGAAGTGTGTGTGTGTGTGTGTATGTATGTATGTATGTATGTATGTATGTAGAGCAGGGGGCCCAGAACTGAATGTTGTTCGCCCTCTATACATGTAAACGTATACCCATCTATATTTGCTTACTAACGTATTTCTGAATTTTGGTATTAAACTGGAAAGCCTTAATAAGTTGCAGAGCAGGGACAAAGGGCTGCAAGAGGACGTTTGTCAAGGCAAAGCCAAGCTTACTGTTTAGGGCTAGAGATGGACCCCAGATGTCCACCATGGGGGACAGCTGTAGTTTCCCATCTTACTACTTGGACTTGAAATAGAACTGGAAAGTAATGTGTATCATAGCTACCTCCTTTTGACTGCTCTATACCTGGAAAAGGAGGAGGGGATAGTCCACAGCAGATGCTTTATTTTGTGCTTTGCTTGGAGAAGGACTACTTGGTAAGCATTACCTTTTGATGTCACCAGGTTTTCACAGTAAGATTCTTAATATCAAGTCTCAAACGTGAATTGAAGCTTTTTAAAATTATTTTTTTAAAGTTTTTAATTCCAGTAGTTAACATACAGCGTTAAATTAGTTTCATGTGTACAATATAGTAATTCAACACTTCCATACATCACCCTGTGCTCATCAGGACAAGTGCACTCCTTAATCCCCATCACCTATCTCACCCCATCCCCCAACCCCCTCCCCTCTGTTTGTTTTCTATAATTTAGAGTCTGTTTCTTGATTTCTCTCTCCTTTTCCCCTTTGCTCATTTGTTTTGTTTCTTAAATTCCACATATGAGTGAAATCATATGGCATTTTTCTTTCACTTATTTCACTTAGCATTATACTCTCAAATGGAAAGATTTCATTCCTTTTTATGACAGTACGTTATATCTGTATCTCACATCTTCTTTATCCATTCATCAATTGAGGGACACTTGGGCTGCTTCCGTATCTTGGCTGTTGTAAAGAATGCTGCTATAAACATTAGGGTGCATGGAAACGAAGCTTTTCTTAAAAGCAGTAGTTAGTATGAAAGTTAACATTGATTGAATATTTAGAGTGGGGAGTGGTATTTTAGAATCTAGTTCCACAGGATTAGTGAGGGTTTTATGGGTCACTTGCAATATCACTGTGTTTGTAAGGTTTGTTTTGTGCTTTATACTACTGGAGCATACATATGCCTATATGTTTGTGAGCATAACTTTAGCCATTCTGTAATCTTTGACCTTTTAGAGGGGATTTCTGAAAATGTAATTAGTATTCATAGAACTTAGCATGGCTGTTTATGCCTTAAAGAAGTTCTTGATTAGGGGTACCTGGGTGGTTCAGTTGGTTAAGTATTGGACCCTTGGTTTCGGCTCAGGTCATGATCTTACTGTGAGTTCGAGCCTCATGTCAGGCTCCGGACTGACAGCATGGAGTCTGCTTTGGATTCTCTCTCTCCCTCTCTCTGTCTCAAAAAAACAAACCAAAAAACCTTAAAAAAAAGTCATTGATATGCAGAAAGTTTTGCAGTTACCATTCCATGGTTGAGCTGAACTAGGTAGACAAAAAGTGTATTAAAACACAAACCATGGCCATTACCTGTGGCCCTCAGAATAGTCCCAAGCATATAAATATATTAAATGCTGTTACAGCTTCTTAACTGAAAAAGGAATAAGTGATTGAGTCCATACAGCAAATAAATGACAGCTGGGCATCTGTTAAGACTTATTTTGTAGTCAGTAATACATGGAATGTGGTAAAAGAAGGTGGGCATGTTAAATGTGAATGCGTTGGTTTACCGCTCCTAAGGAATTGGGGAGGGGGCTTTCCTGGTGTTAGAATCCATGTTCCCTTGAGGTATAATTTAGAAAGAACCCAAGGCACAGTGCATTTGCATGAACGAGGTTATATTCTTCTTTTAAAAAAAAAATTTAATGTTTATTTTTAAAATTTTTTTTTCAATGTTTTAATTTATTTTTGGGACAGAGAGAGACAGAGCATGAACGGGGGAGGGGCAGAGAGAGAGGGAGACACAGAATCAGAAACAGGCTCCAGGGTCTGAGCCATCAGCCCAAGCCTGACGCGGGGCTCGAACTCACGGACCGCGAGATCGTGACCTGGCTGAAGTCGGACGCTTAACCGACTGCGCCACCCAGGCGCCCCTTTAATGTTTATTCTTGAGAGAGAGATCTAATGAATGCCAAACGGGCGAGGGACAGAGAGAGAGAGGGAGGGAGGCGCAGAATCCCAAGCAGTCTCCAGGCTCTGAAGTGTCAGCACAGAGCCCGATGCGGGGCTTGAACCCATGAACCGTGAGATCATGACCCGAGCTGAAGTCAGATATTTATCTGACTGAGCCACCCAGGCGCCCCATGAGGTTATATTCTTGATGTCTTCTGCTTGCAGAAGACTGTTTCAGATATTGGCAAAGGGGGAGAGGCCTAGAAGTTTTCTTGCAGTAAATTTCTCAGAGCTTTAAGCTCTCTTATTCAGCTCAGCAAAACAAAATACATCTTCCCCATTAACCTAACAATTGCAATTATCCAGTATTCTTCATACAGGTGAAAATTAACATCAAAGGCATCCTGGACAGGGAAATGTAATCAGAGAGATTCAAACAAAGCTAGCAGCCAGTAGTCACCTAATTTTTACCAACCATTTTGGTGGGGTGGGGTGTGGTGTGGCATGGCATGTCATATCTTGATGTGTGTGTGTGTGTGCGCGCATGTGTGCTCCATTTAACTCAATTTGCATTTCCCCATGAGTGTATTAGCCATTCTTTAAAACAAATGTGGACGTTTTTAGCCTTTCCCTTAAACAGGAACTTGTAAGTTCAGAATTAAGTGGACCAACAGGTATAACTGCTCAAATCATGGCGCTACCATCCCTGGTAGTTTCTATGGTAACAGCCAGATTATTATTTTTTTAATAAGCATACAATTAAGATTACCATAATGAGGGGCGCCTGGGTGGCTCAGTTGGATAAGCGGTTAAGCATCTGACTCTTGATTTCATCTCAGGTCATGATCTCATGGGTTCCTGAGTTCAAGCCCCATGTCAGTTTCTGCACTGATGGCTCGAAGCCTGCTTGGGATTCTGTCTCTCCCTCTCTGTGCCCCTCCCTGCCTAGTGTTTTTTTTTTTTTTTTCCTTCTTTCTCTCAAAATAAATAAATTAAAAAAAATTGCCATAATGTTTCAGGCAGGGCGTCTTACCCGGAGTGTTTTTCAGAAATACTTAATTTTTTACTGGGCGCCTGGGTGGCTTAGTCGGTTAATTGTCCAACTTCAGCTCAGGTCACGATCTCACAGTTCATGAGTTTGAGCCCCACGTTGGGCTCTGTGCTGATAGCTCAGAGCCTGGAGCCTGTTTCCTCTTCTGCATCTCCCCCTCTCTTTGCCCCTCCCCTGCTCACACTCTGTCTCTCTCTGTGTCTCAAAAATAAGAGTTAAATTTTTTTTTAAATACTTAATTTTGTAAAGTAAAAATAAACTATACCTGTTACTTGTCATGGAAGTGAGTTATCTTAGGGATTTTTTTTCTGTTGAAATATATATATATATATTTATAAATTAATTTTTTTCAGAGCAGTTTTAGGTTCACAGCAAAATTGTGGGGAAGGCACAGAGAATTCCCATATATCACCTTCTAGCACACGTGCACAACCTCCCCCATTATCAACATCCCTCACCAGGTTGATATGTTTGTTACAATCGACATTGAGATACCATTATTGCCCAAAGTCCATCGTTTGCATTAAGGTTTGCTCTGGGTGTTGTACATTCTGTGTTAAAAAAAAATATATATATATATATATATTTATTGGGGTGCCTGGGTGACTCAATCGGTTGAGCATCTGACTTCAGCTCAGGTCATGATCTCATGGTTTGCAGGTTCGAGCCCCATGTTGGATTTTGTGCTGGCAGCATGGGGGCCTGCTTTGGATTCTCTGTCTTCCTCTCTCTCTCTGCCCCTACCCCACTTGTATTCTCTATCTCTCAAAAGTAAATAAACATAAAAAAATTACTAAAAATATATATTTATTAAGACTTAATTTTTTAGAACAGTTTTAGTTTCATAGCAAAATTGAGGGAAAGGTACATAGTGTTTCCATATACACCCTGGCCACACATACATACTGCCTCCCCCATTAGGAATACTCCCCTGCAGAGTAGTACATTTGTTACAGTTGGTGAGCCTACATTGACATATCAATAATCAACTAGAGTCCATAGTTTACATTATGGTTCACTTGTGGTGTTGAACATAGTATGGGTTTGGACAAATGTATAATGACATGAGTGTGTACAGAATAGTTTCACTGCCCTAAAAATCCTCTTTGCTCTGCCTAGTCATCCCTTCCTTTTATGCCCAACCCTAGGCAGCCACTGGTACTTTTACTGCCTCCATAGTTTTACATTTTTCAGAATGTCATATAGTTGGAAAAACACAGTATGTAATTTTTTCAGATTGGACTCTTTCATTAATAATATGCATTTGGGGCGCCTGGGTGGCGCAGTCGGTTAAGCGTCCGACTTCAGCCAGGTCACGATCTCCCGGTCCGTGAGTTCGAGCCCCGCGTCAGGCTCTGGGCTGATGGCTCAGACCCTGGAGCCTGTT